TTTCTGCACCTTTTGTGGAGCTACAGTATATATATATACCAGAAAACCATAGTTTCTGTTTCGTGTGAATCCAAAGTAAAAAAGGAAAGCTACCATTATATGAACTAAAACGTATAAACCACTGACAGTAAAATAATACATTTTTAAATGTGTCTACATATGTTCATATTTGCTGCACCACAATCATACCTCTAAGATTCATATTATACTCTAAAACTATAGCTTTACCTTCTGTGTCCACTTGGTGAATCTTTAAATGCTTTCGTAGAGGGCCTGGAGTGACAAAGGTCACTGAACAGTATGGACAGCGATGAGAATGACCATCACTGTGAACAGTCATGTGTCGGGTAAGAGATCCGTTAGTGGTGAACGCTGCATTACAAACATCACATTTGAAGTCCCGAACACCAGAGTGGGTTCGAATGTGGGCTTTTAGACTTCCCATGGAAGCAAACATTCCAGCACAGTGGGAACATCGGAATGGCTTCTCTCCAGTGTGACTACGGATATGTTGCTTCAGATGGCTAGACTTTTTGAAAGCTTTATTACAGTACATATAAGTGCAGCTAGAGAAATAAGAAACAATTGTCAGAAAAAATTATAGAAAAAAAAAACACTGAGAACTACAATTACAATGCAGATCTCTTTATATGACTTGTATGTACAAAAAAAATTTAAAATTATAATTTTCTTTATTTTTATAAAATGCTCTTCAATAGAAAATGTAAACATTATTTAACCTTAATATTTCCAAAAGGGGAAACAAATTTATCTAAAACATATAAGTTTAATTGTTCTTAATTTTTCTTATCAAAAAAGAACAAATATTTAAAGTAAAACGAAATAAATTTAAAAACATTACTGGCCAAAGGAGAAACTATCTATTTTTCCTTTCTTTTCAACTGGCTGTGTTTTTTTCTTATTTATATAGCAAAAACCAATTAAGTTTACATACAAAGGTGGTTGTTTCACACACGTTCTTTTGAGTTTATTCTGACCTAAGTTCAAGGACAGTTAGTGTATTGTTGTTTGTGTTCATTGATGGCTCTGTTAAGAATTTAGAAATGTTCTACTCAAATGTGTGAATCAAATACCATATGAATGTGACAAAATATAAAAAATAATCACTGAAAACAAGAATACAATAATCATTGTCAAAAAAGGAGAAAGAGAAAACTCAGCTAAATCCTGTTATATAATGGAAAAAAAGATCATATTATCCTTGCAATAAAACTTTTGAAGAAATAAATATAGGGGAATCAATAGAAATATCAAAGAATAAATATGAAACTATAAATCCAAATGATGGTCCAGGGTTACACCATACATGAAAAGCTTTTTCTACAATGGTTTAACTTTGACATCACACAAATAGAAAAAATTAAAAAAGTATTTCTTTAAGAACCCTAGTGGTTATATAATAAATAGTTCCAGTGAGTGCTTTTTTACCATCTTACTATAATGGATGTAGCATGTATGTCAGTATCTGTGTATGTAACCAAAACTACTGCACCATTTATTAAATGGCACCACAAACAAAAATCCATAAAAAATTTCACACTTTGGGTATTCAAGATTCAGACAATTAGAAAAATAACTGTGGTATGTGCAACAACCATTTCTTTATAATAGAACACAATTTTAAATAAAAGTACTCTCCTCACAACAAGAATATGCCTTTCACTAGGACTGTACGTGAGGGTTTTATTATATCTTTATTGATAAAATTTTTAAATGTACTACTGAGAAGCCAGAGTTCTTAAAAAAACTATTATTCTTTCACTAAATGGTACCACATTTAAAATATAAAAACATTACAGCTTATATCAGTAAAATTAATTTCAAAATATTGAATCTTTTTGATGCAATGAGTTGCATATGACTAAAGAGCACAATCTAAACACTTTTCCCATGCAGTACTTCCCGGAAAAAAATTATTTTTTAGAAAATTTTCACTTTTCTAAATTTTTTCAATAAGGTATTAATACTATGATTAGCAGTTACAAGCACAAACCTCTGAAGCCAGAACATGTTGGGTATTAAAAATATAGTTTTAATTCATGTTATATAATATTTCTTACTTTAGTTTGAGTTCCATTTTCCATGCACATGACAGTGGAGTTACAATGTATCGGACTTTCTGATGCAAGTTTCAAATACCATTTTTTAATTATCAGATGATACAATTGACATACAAATTTCCACAAATCTGACAACTAAAAATATAGATATTATAAGAAGAATGCATTTTGGACTTTTGTCATTGAATGTGAACAAACTATTAAGTCTTAAATGAGCTTGGAACTTGATCCACAATGAAACTATCATCTAGTTACCAATCTTTAGTTCCAACTGTAAAACTTTCTTATAGAACTATAATATTAAACTTTAGATTCAATGTAAAACCTTTATATATAACTATAACATTAGATTTTTATTTCCAATTCTAAAACTTTATTATATTAACTATAACATTTAATTTTTAAGCAAACTTATATACACTTTGCATGATAAGTTGAAAAGCTTGGTGAACAAAGGATTTTCTCAAGTTTCACATAGAAACATTGTTTCAAAACCATTTAAGACTGAAATGTTTGTTTACATTCAAAGACAAAATATCCAAAATTCAATCTTCATTTATAAACTGTCTTTTTATTTGTTGGGTTTGGTATGTCAGAAGTATCACCCAACAATTAAAAAGGCAGTATTTGGAACATGTATCAGAAAGACTGATATATCTTTTGTCATGTGCAGTAAGAATGTGATTTTCCTATATGAATAGGATATTTCTAACTTTTGTCAGTGATCAAGGACTAAATATTAAGGAAAAACATATGATGTTGAACGTGGGCCTGAATAACTTCAAAAGAATATGCAGAACATATATTAATATTCATGTATAAGCCTAGCTGGGCTTTACCCAGTAATTGTGATTTACATTCAATTTTCTTCAGAAACCTTCAGGAATCAAGAACTAGTACTTCTAATGAGAATAATAGAATTTCAGGTAATTATATTAATAGTGTTTAAATGGCCCTTAAGTTTTAACAGAAACTGAGAAGTATTATCATACAAAAAAAAATAAACATATCCATACCATGAACTATATCACTACAATCTTTAAAAACATTATATACAAGATCTTTACCAAAACTATTACTCCATCTCTGAGATACCTAATATACAAGATCTTTATCAAAACTGTTACTCCATCTCTGAGATACCTAATATACAAGATCATTATGAGAACTATAACTCCATCTCTGAAAAACCTAATATACAAGATCTTTATCAAAACTATTATGCCATCTCTGAGATACCTAATATACAAGATCATTATGAAAACTATTACTCCATTTCTGAGATACCTAATATACAAGATCTTTATCAAAACTATTACTTCATCTCTGAAAAACCTAATATACAAAATCACTATGAAAAATACTACTCCATCTCTGAGATACCTAATATACAAGATCATTATGAAAACTATAACTCCATCTCTGAAAAACCTGATATACAAGGTCTTTATGAAAACTATTACTCCATCTCTGAAAAACCTGATATACAAGGTCTTTATGAAACTATTATGCCATCTCTGAGATACCTAATATACAAGATCATTATGAGAACTATAACTCCATCTCTGAAAAACCTAATATACAAAATCATTATCAAAACTATTATGCCATCTCTGAAAAACCTAATATACAAGATCATTATGAAAACTATTACTCCATTTCTGAGATACCTAATATACAAGATCTTTATCAAAACTATTACTTCATCTCTGAAAAACCTAATATACCAGGTCTTTATGAAAACTATTACTCCATCTCTGAAAAACCTAATACACAAGATCATTATGAAAAGTATAACTCTATCTCTGAAAAACCTAATATACAAGATCATTATCAAAACTATTACTCCATCTCTGAAAAACCTAATATACAAAATCATTATCAAAACTATTATGCCATCTCTGAGATACCTAATATACAAGATCATTATGAGAACTATTACTATATCTCTGAGATACCTAATATACAAGATCATTATGAGAACTATTACTCCATCTCTGAAAAACCTAATATACAAGATCATTATGAAAACTATTACTCCATCTCTGAAAAACCTAATACACAAGATCATTATGAAAAATATAACTCCATCTCTGAAAAACCTAATATACAAGATCATTATGAAAACTATTACTCCATCTCTGAAAAACCTAATACAAAAGATCATTATGAAAACTATAACTCCATCTCTGAAAAACCTGATATACAAGGTCTTTATGAAAACTATTACTCCATCTCTGAAAAACCTGATACACAAGATCATTATGAAAACTGTAACTCCATCTCTGAAAAACCTAATACACAAGATCATTATGAAAACTATTACTCCATCTCTGAAAAACCTAATATACAAGATCATTATGAAAACTATTACTCCATCTCTGAAAACCTCATGTATTTACCGAAACCCTCTAGATCCATCCTTGGAGTTAGCTTCTGTTCCACCTCCTTCAGAAACAACTTCATTATCTAAGGTGGCAGGATCCAGTGACAACAGACTTGGGTCATTTGTACTTGTAGGTTCCTCAGAGTCTTCTTGGTTAACAGCATCTGACAACACACTTACCATGCTTGTGGTAGCCAGAGGCTCTGGGCCTAGAGCCGAGGCTGTAGTAACAAAGCTGGTGCCTAGAGCTCCAACATCAAGAGCATCAGTCTAATGGTGAGAAACAATATGTTGTATATATTATTTCTTGTAGGTCACTATGATCAATCCTAATCATACTGTATTTATTACTTCTATTAGGTCACTATAATCACTCTTATCCATGCTGCATTTATTAATTACAGTAGGTCACTCTTAAACACTGTGTATTCATTACCTCCAGTAGGTCACTCTAATCAATCTTAACCATGCTGTATTCATTACTTCTAGTAGGTCACTCTAATCAATCTTAACCATGTTGTATTTATTACTTACGGTAGGTCACCTTAATTAATCTTAACCATGCTGTATTTATTACTTCTATTAGGTCACTATAATCAATCTTAACCATGCTGTATTTGTTACTTCTAGTAGGTCACTATAGTCACTCTTAACCATGCTGTATTTATTACTTATAGTAGGTCACTCTAACTAATCTTAACCATGCTGTATATATTATTTCTAGTAGGTCACTCTAACCAATCTTAACCATGCTGTATGTATTACTTCTAGTAGGTCACTCTAGTCCCTCTTGACCATGGTGTATATATTATTTCGAGTAGGTCACTCTAACCAATCTTAACTATGTTGTATTTATTAACCATTATTATTAACCATGCTACATTTATTAATTATAGTAGGTCACTTTAGTCACTCTTAACCATGCTGTATTTATTACTTCTAGGTCACTCTAATCACACTTAACCATGCTGTATGTATTACTTCTAGGTCACTCTAATCACACTTAACCATGCTGTATTTACTGTTTCTAGCATGTGGCTGTGGCTCTTTCATTGTATCAAAGTTTAGTAATGATATATGATACAGTTAAAATGTGGTTCATTTGGTGTATTTAACTAGTACAAACATGATACAGTTAAAATGTGGCTCATTTGGTATATTTAACTAGTATAAACATGATACAGTTAAAATGTGGCTCATTTGGTATATTTAACTAGTACAAACATGATACAGTTAAAATGGGGTTCATTTGGTATGTTAGTACAAACATGATACAGTTAAAATGTGGCTCATTTGGTATATTTAACTAGTACAAACATGATACAGTTAAAATGTGGTTCATTTGGTATATTTAACTAGTACAAACACAATACAGTTAAAATGTGGCTCATTTGGTATATTTAACTGGTACAAACATGATAAAGTTAAAATGTGGCTCATTTGGTATATTTAACTAGTACAAACATGATACAGTTAAAATGTGGCTCATTTGGTATATTTAACTAGTACAAACATGATACAGTTAAAATGTGGCTCATTTGGTATGTCTAACTAGTACAAACATGATACAGTTAAAATGTGGATCATTTTGTATGTTAGTACAAACATGATACAGTTAAAATGTGGATCATTTGGTATGTTAGTACAAACACAATACAGTTAAAATGTGGCTCATTTGGTATATTTAACTAGTACAAACTCGATACAGTTAAAATGTAGATCATTTTGTATGTTAGTACAAACATGATACAGTTAAAATGTGGATCATTTGGTATGTTAGTACAAACACAATACAGTTAAAATGTGGCTCATTTGGTATATTTAACTAGTACAAACTCGATACAGTTAAAATGTGTGTTCATTTGGTATATTTAACTAGTACAAACACAATACAGTTAAAATGTGGATCATTTGGTATGTTAGTACAAACATGATACAGTTAAAATGTGGCTCATTTGGTATATTTAACTAGTACAAACATGATACAGTTAAAATGTGGATCATTTGGTATATTTAACTAGTACAAACATAATACAGTTAAAATGTGGTTCATTTGGTATATTAGTACAAACACAATACAGTTAAAATGTGGCTCATTTGGTATATTTAACTAGTACAAACATGATACAGTTAAAATGTGGATCATTTGGTATATTTAACTAGTACAAACATGATACAGTTAAAATGTAGTTCATTTGATATATTTAACTAGTACAAACACAATACGGTTAAAATGTGGCTCATTTGGTATATTTAACTAGTACAAACACAATACAGTTAAAATGTGGCTCATTTGGTATATTTAACTAGTACAAACATGATACAGTTAAAATGTAGTTCATTTGGTATGTTAGTACAAATATGATACAGTTAAAATGTGGTTCATTTGGTATATTTAACTAGTACAAACTCGATACAGTTAAAATGTGGATCATTTGGTATATTTAACTAGTACAAACATGATACAGTTAAAATGTAGTTCATTTGGTATATTTAACTGGTACAAATACAATACAGTTAAAATGTGGTTCATTTGATATATTCAACTAGTACAAACATGATTTGATACATTGCTGTTTGTTATACTATTGCTACATTTATAAGATATAGAATAAAAGTTGTTCCAAGTACCTGCAATGAAAACTGATTTTGTGTAAAACCAGTGGTAGAGAGTTCCCCAAATGTTTGAGAGAAGAGGGAATTCTGAGCTTGGTCTAATCCTGGAGTCTGTGAACGGTCCAGGTCAGTTGTTGTTAAGCCTTGTTGATTTTCAAAAACCTGTTAGATTATATTCTAGTGAAACTGATGTGGATTTTTTTGTTATTATATGAAAAATATAATAACGTAGTAGAGTAAGATACATACATTGAGACAGGTATATTGTTAGTAAAAAGTTTTCAAAGTATATACTATACTGCAACATAGCACACATAAAGTACTAAAATAAAATACCTAAATCTGTATATAAAATTAAACATGTTAAAAACAGACTACTTACACTATATATTATACAAAGGATACACAAAAACATTATGCAGTAAACTCTCTTTTATAAATGTAATTATAACTTATATCATATTTTCTGGCTCTTGATACAAATTACAGCTTTCATAATCCTTCCAGAAGAAAAGTTATCTTGTAGTGAATTTTATACTCATAAACAAATTATGAATTTATCTCCATCATTATCAGTCAACATATAATCACAGGCCCCACCCATGTGGTCCTTGGCCAGTGTTAATTAATAGCAATACAAGTATATGAGGTTCACAGTGAGTCTGAAGCCAGCAACTAAATCACAAACAACAGAGAATAAATGTGGGACTTGCAGGAATTACAGTACAATACTTAAACAAAAGGAACACATGCAATAGTTTGAATTGTTAACAAAATGCTAGTAGGTTAAATCTTTAGTTCAGTTGGTAGAGGACCTCTCAAATATTCATGAGGTCCCAGGTTCGATCCCATGATGAAAAAATTAGATTATAATAAGGTAAACTAGCACCCAGAGTGGGGTTGTATGTCACCTGGCATGCTGGATGAAATCAATCAGTTTCAATCCTCTGTCTAGAACAAATGTTGGGCTACACATTCAACTGTATTGAACTGACATTACAAGTAAGAGAGTATTGATGAATGAATCAACAACTCAGTAAGAAACTTAGAGATCAACAGTGAACTCCTAAAGTTGACCAAACTGTAGTGAACTGATTACAAGTATGTGAGTAATGATGAAAGAATCAACAAATCAAACAAATCAAAAGGAAGTATTCGAAATCATATAAACAGACAGGATTAATCAAGAAGTTTCACTGTTAGATACAGCTTGTATTATTCTGTACATTCTACATGATTCATCTACAAGTTTCATTGGTAATTACAGCTTGTATTATTCTGTACATTCTACAAGATCCATCTATAAGTTTCATTAGTAGATACAGCTTGTATTATTCTGTACATTCTATATGATCCATCTAGAACTTTCACAAGTAGACACAGCTTGTATTATTCTATATCATACTGCCTACTTTTTACAATAATTTACAAGAAAGATTTAAAAAAAGGCTTAAAAGGATACAAAAACTCCTTAAATCACTTTTTTTACATGTAATTGATACTAACATATACTAGTTACTACTGTGTAAATGTAGTCTGACCATTTATCATACACCAACTAGCTTTGTCTTCATTTCAAAGCACGTACCTGTGTAAAGTCGTGAACTTCAAGTGGTACTTCAGGAGCTAGAGATTGTTGTATCAGACCAGCTGCTGTTTGGCCTTCAGCTGTAGTGATTGTTGTCAGGTTACTGACATTTGTTGTTATAACGCCATGCCCCTCTTCTGTACACTCTAATCCACCTCCATTTTCTGACACCACAGCCAGTGTGACAGCAGAGATATCTCCTTGTGCAAGCTCTTGTCGGTGAATCTTCATATGCTTTCTACAGTTTACAGATGTTTTAAAAGTCTTCTGACAATAGGGACACATGAAAGGTCTCACATCACTGTGAATGCACATGTGACGTTTCAGGGATCCATTGGTTGTGAAAGTTGCATTACATATCTCACATCTGAAAGCCTTCACCCCAGAATGGGATCTTATGTGGTACTTTAAAACTCCACTGGACACAAAGGATCGCTTACACTGTAAACATTTGTATGGTTTTTCCCCGGTATGTGACCGGATGTGCTGCTTCAAGTGGCTTGACTTTTTGAAACCTCTTGTGCACACTTCACATTTATAAGGCCTATCAACTGAGTTTCCTTCTGGTTCTGAATAGGCCCTAGAGGGTTGTTGGATAAACCCACTGTCTGTAATGAAAATGGGTTCTTGTAATGGAATGTCTTGAAATTGATCAGTGGTTTTTGACTGGGTTTTAGACACACGCCTAGATTTTCGTTGAGAGCTAGTTCTAAAATGGGATAGTATGTGACTCTTCCTGTGACCAGATGTTCGAAACTTTTTGTGACAGTGTGGACAATTGAATGGTTTAGCTCCTGTATGTAATCTCAAGTGAACTCTCAAGCTGCCAGCTGTAGCAAAGTAATTGTCACATACCTCACATAAAAACTCCTTCACACCTGTATGTGTACGAAGATGAGCAGTAAGTGTACTTTTTACAGCAAAGGCACGGAAGCAATGACTACATTTATAAGGTTTTTCTTGGGTATGAATACGAATGTGTCTCACAAGATCACTGGGCTTTTTAAATTCTTTACTACAATACATGCACTGATGCCATCGCACTCCTCCTACCTTGCGAATTACGTGTTTTTTTAAGATTCCGGTAGCCGTATCAGCCACACTCATTACAAGAGCCATGCATCTTTTTGAGCTACTTACTTCACCATCCTCATTTATTTTGTCTTTGGCCTCATTTGTTTTCTTTGTTTCCTGCTCACCAGATGTCACTGCAGTACCATCACTTTTTAAACCAATCACTGCTACACCACTGTCTTCCAATGCTTGCTGCAAGATGTCAGCACTCACTTTACTGTTCTGAGCAATCTCTTGGATTTGCTGATGAGTGTGTTCACGATCACTGTTGGTTTGTCGAGACAGCTCTAGCAGCTGTAGGATAACCTTATCTACATCTCTTCTCTCTGGTTCCTCTTGATCTTCCTTAGAGTTTTCTTTTTCAGAAAGGAGACTTTCACTGTAAGTAACTTCACCAGAATGCATTCTGCTCATGTGGGCATTCAGGCTGCCAAGTTTTCGAAAAACACAGCTACATTCGTCACACTGATACAGTGATGTTCCTTCATCTTTGGAGAACGTGTGTACTCGCTGAATGTGAGCTCTCAAATTCCCTCGCTGAGAAAAAGCTGCTGGGCAAAATTCGCAATGGTATGGTCGTTCTCCACTGTGTTTTGTCATGTGGATCTGAAGTGCTCCTTTCTGATTAAAAGCTTTATCACACTTGTCACATTTATATGGTCTTTCTCCTGCAGATAAAAGCATCAAACAAGTCTGAAAGACTAGGTGTCTTTGTAAAAAATGTTTAATAATTAAACAATGAAACAATCAGAATAACCAGACACCCAGACACTTTTGTTAACTTTTAAAACTATGAATAAAAAATGTTGCCTAATAAACAACAAGTGTCATAATAACCTGACCTTTGTGATAAAACTGTTTAATAAACAAACAATAAAACAGTCAGAGTAGCATTTGTTAAAACTTATTAATAAACAAATAATAAAACAGTCAGAGTAACCTCAAACATTTGTTAAAACTGTTTAATAACCAAAAAATAAACCAGTCACAATAACCTGACATCTTGGTTAAAGCTGTTTAATAGACAAACAATAAACATGTCTGAGTAACCTAACACCTTTGTAATAATAACTTATACTCATTTCTAAACATAAAACAAGGAAATTAAACATAATACAAACTATATTTTATTACAAGTTACAGCTTTTACAGTAAGATTTGTATTTGAAACAGGTACAACATTTTGATAACTGGTGCAATCATTCTCAAAATGAAACTATAATACAAACTAGTTTGTAAACATGAAACAAGACATTCAAACACAATACAACTAGTATAGATTGTACATGTTCACTGATAATGTAATAATAACTAATATCGATATCTTTGCACTTAGTGTAGATTGTGTGTATACATTCATTAAATGTAATGATCAGTAACATTTCTATTCACACAGTTAATTTGGGTTTATAACCACTCTTGCCTGTACCAGTCATTTTGTGACATGTTTCTTAGCCCAATTTGATTTTATTGTGATATTTTATGAATTAGATAAATAGATTTTGTGTATTGAATGAAATTAAGTGAGTTTTGATCCATGTCTTATTTACAAACTAGTGTATATTATGTTTGTCTTGTCTTGTGTTTATAAACTAGTTTTTATTTTGTTTACATATCTTGTTGTATTTTTAAAAGCTAGTTTTTATTTTGCTTGTGTCTAGTTTGTGGTATATTTAATGTCTTGTTTTATGTTTACAACTAGTTTGTAGTATATTTAATGTCTTATGTTATGTTTATAAACTAGCTTGTATTCTGTTTACTTGTCTTGTTTTATATTTACAAATTAGTTTGCATTATATTTAAACATCTTATTTTATGTTTACAAACTAGTTGTATTGTGTTTGAATGTCTTGTATTATGTTTAAACATCTTGTTTTGTGTTTACAAACTAGTTGTATTGTGTTTGAATGTCTTGTATTATGTTTAAACATCTTGTTTTGTGTTTACAAACTACCTGTGTGGATATGGATATTACTGACCACTACATGATGAGTGAACACATATAATCTATATTACCTGTGTGGATATGGATATTACTGACCATTACATGATGAGTGAACACATATAATCTATATTACCTGTGTGGATATGGATATTACTGACCACTACATGATGAGTGAACACATATAATCTATATTACCTGTGTGGATACGAATATGCCTCACCAGCTGACTCGGTTTCTGGAACAGCTTACTACAAGTATGACATTTATGTGGAAACATGGAGCGGTCTATGTTTCTTTTATAGTTCCGGTGAGCTAATGACGCTCTAAGAAATAACAAAACTTACAAATCTGTTTGACTAAAACATATCTAGTGACAGACAATATATTTCAGTAAAGAATTATAAGAGCCACTTACGAGTCCTATGGAAAATGCATGAAGTATTGGAAAGATATGGCTGAATTAAACTTATTTACATTGAAACTAGTAGCATATATTATTGTAACAATGTTAAGTGTATTTATTGTTAAGTGCAAAAATAGGAAAATCAATTCAAGTAACCATTTTAATAGTTTAATAAAAATATACTGTCCAAATTAAATATGCATACAATAATGCAACAGAGACAAACTGTACATACATTTGGATTCACAAAACAACTGTTCCCACTAAACAATACAGTATAATGTTCTAGATAATATATTACTATATTTAAATTAAATGTGCTTAGAATACTACGATAGAGAAAGTTTCTAAAAACATTTGAATTAACAAAAATGTTGTATGCTATTACATGAAAGTTTATCTGTGATCAGATTATAAGGGTGTCACTTGTTACAAACATTCACTTGCACATGATACAAGTTCCTATAATAGACTTGTTTCTTGCACTTAACAGATAGTTTGCTTATATTAAATTAAAACAACCACTTATTACAAAGATTTGGTCATCACTATTGATCCATGCATGCAGACTATATACAGTTTTCCTTAAAGAAACATAACCTGAATATAGTTTTAATATCTTCTTACTTGATTTTGTAATGTATCTTCATATGGTCCCTCAAATTCGATGCTCTGTTAAACTTCTGGGTACAGTGTTTACAGCAGTACACCCGGTCTTCAACTTCTTCCTTGTGATGTTTGGTATGTTGGTCCAACTGCATCTGTCAAAATCAATAATATACCTTCTTAACACAATCATATGAAAATAAAATGGAAGTGACACTATGTGAAAATAAACAATATATTTTAACACTGTAATACAAAGACAAACAGAAGTGCCTCTCTACATGAAAAGAAACAATATATTTTAACATTGTAATACGAAGACAAACAGAAGTGCCTCTCTACAAGAAAAGAAACAATATATTTTAACACTGTAATACGAAGACAAACAGAAGTGCCTCTCTACATGAATACGAAGACAAACAGAAGTGACTCTCTACATGAAAAGAAACAATATATTTTAACACTGTAATACGAAGACAAACAGAAGTGCCTCTCTACATGAATACGAAGACAAACAGAAGTGACTCTCTACATGAAAAGAAACAATATATTTTAACATTGTAATACGAAGACAAACAGAAGTGCTTCTCTACATGAAAAGAAACATTATATTTTAACACTGTAATACGAAGACAAACAGAAGTGACTCTCTACATGAAAAGAAACAATATATTTTAACATTGTAATACGAAGACAAACAGAAGTGACACTATATGAAAAGAAACATATTTTAACACTGTAATATGAAGACAAACAGAAGTAACTCTCTACATGAAGAGAAACAATATATTTTAACACTGTAATACGAAGACAAACAAAAGTGACACTATAAAACTATATATTTTAACACTAATATGAAGACAAACAGAAGTGACAATGTACATAAAAAAAAACAATACAATGGCGTCACACAGTAAAACAAACAAACTGAACTCAACCTATATAAAAAGTACAAATATGCCTTCTTAACACAATAAAATAGAAGTGAAATTGTACATGAAAAGAAATAACACATTTTAACACAATAATATGAAGGTAAACAAAAGTAAAACTATGTGAAAAGCAATAATACACCTTAACACAATAATACAAACATAAACTGAAGTGAAACTACTTGAGAAGCAACAACATACACTTTGAATATAATATTGAGGTAAACAAAAGTAAAACAGTAACGTTTTATTCAAGATAAGCTTAACATGAAAACCACAGGACAATGTATAGTGCAAATTCAATTTTGTTTAATGTAGAAAACTAAATATACAGTAGCAAAAATTAAACTAGTCGTGAATATTTCCTATTATTTTATTAACTTACTTATTAATAAATACAATTATAATTTTAAATATGGTAATCATAAGCCAAACAATAATGCATACAAACCTGTGTACTAAATTCATCTCCACATTCAGAACAAATAAGGTTTTCTTCCTTCTCATGAAGCATGACATGAGCTTTAAGACTAGCCACTCGAGAGAACTTCTTTCCACACTCTGGACATGTTGGGTCAGAGGTGCAGTGGGTAGCCTGATGAAGTTGCAGATTGCTCTCGATATTAAAAGATGCATCACACTGATCACATCGGTGGGGTTTGTCCTCAGCATGCTTTTTTAAATGTCTTTGTAATCTATTCCATTTGGGAAACTCCTTATCACATTTTTCACACTTGAATGGACCCTTTTTAAAATTAGACAGGATTTTAATTTTTCATAAAACTATACACTTCTGTAGTCTTTCAGTAAAGACATGCAAACAATATATCATGATACACATGATGTTCAGTCCTCTGAAGATGTAGCATTATACTTATACAGGACAGTGACAAAATACAGAAACAAAGCTGAAACCTTTCCAATCATGGATAAAAAGGTTATCATATACAAAATTGATCTTATCACCCAAAAACTTTAACAGTGAAGTTATCATTATGAGTTTCTATTTTATGATTTATACAATAGTTAGAAATGTATATTAAATTAACTACATTAATTACTACGTTAATTTTTAGTTCTAATACATGTAGGTAACTTGTTTTGACCATAAGTTAATGATAATTAAAATAAAAGAATCAATCAGATCTGAAATTCATGTCAAGAAGTTAGAAGATAGTTCTTCTAAAGATACTTGAAGTCTAACATATACATGTTATTTTTGTGAATAATTAATATGTCTACTTCTTTAAGTCTAGCATATGCATGTTATTTTTTGAATAATTAACCTGTCTACTTCTTTAAGTGTAACATATGCATGTTATTTTTTTGAATAATTAATCTGTCTACTTCTTTAAGTCTAACATATGCATGTTATTTTTGTGAATAATTAATCTGTCTACTTCTTTAAGTCTAACATATGCATGTTATTTTTTGAATAATTAACCTGTCTACTTCTTTAAGTCTAACATATGCATGTTATTTTTTGAATAACTAATCTGTCTACTTCTTTAAGTCTAACATATGCATGTTATTTTTATGAATAATTAACCTGTCTACTTCTTTATGTCTAAAATATGCATGTTATTTTTGTGCATAATTAATCTGTCTACTTCTTTAAGTGCTATCCAGGCAGAGCCATGAATAGTTTTAGGCAGCAGAAGAAATTGTTGGTTATCAAGAAATTTTAAGCATCCATTTATTGCTAAGTTACTTTTTGTATCTGCAAATGCACAAGTATGCACAACAAATGCCCAATATCTTCTGGGTTTTTCCTACATCAGGCAAATACTTCCACATAAAGGAAACCTAGAATTTAGTAGGTCAGACAGTTTCTGATTTGCATCTAAGTGGTCATGAGCATAAATACCAATTCAAGGACACATATGGATAAGTTGTGATTTATTTTAGATCTAGGACTAAATCTTTTGCTTGAATTGCATAAATCCTAGAACAATGCAATAAAAGTAAGCCTTTCATATACTTTAGCAATGATATCAAACAGACTGCTTAAATCTCTAGCTTCTAAGTCTTGATCAATATTACTAAGACCTATATCTAGGCCTTCTGATAGTAACAGGCAATAATACACCTGTATTGTTTTATTGCTACTATATGTTAGTCTAGATCTAGGCCTAAGTACATTGTCTAATGCAAGTAATAATGATAATTACACACACACACATACATACATTATATTTATGGGTGTGTGTGTATTCAAATCCTGGTCAGACAAAGGATTATTTGACAACTTAGTAAATACCACCCACATGATTTCTAAGCTAATACACAACATGAGAAAAATAAATCCTGTATTTATAATAGTTATGGACTATGAAATCATAATACATGATTTGATAACATGACTTTTCATTATATTGAAAGTACACTCCCTTTCAAACTCACCAGAAAGGAAAATGTTGTCTTATCTAGTATGGAACAAATGCTAGAGTATTTTTATGTGCCAAAATTGATTTTTGAAAAGATTTTACAATGGGCATATATTAATTTCCTGCCCTGGTAACTGAACCATAACAAATATTACCTTTCCAATTGGAGGTCTAATTTCCTCCATTTCAAGAGCAACTTGCTTAGGGTATTTATTTCCAGACTGACAATCAACAGTTGCCCTAACAGTGTCAGAGACATCTGGATCTGGTTCTGTTTCTTCTAAAACATCAGTGGAGTTTGTTATTGCTTCTTCATGAGTTGTAAACTGCAGCATTCCTCCTCCATCAAACACAGGATGTGCCACCCCTTGATTTAATAATGCAACCTGACTAGGATCTAGGAAGATTCCAGTCCCATCTGCATTTGTAGCAATGATCAGTCCATGGGTTCCTGCAGCTCCTAGTATTGTACCATCCCTGAGAATGGGTAGGTTAATTAGAGTCTGCGGTGCTCCCACAGAAGTAAGAACTGGCACTGTCACCACAGGCAAGCTCTCACCTGTAGAAAACACAGAACTGTCGTCTGCAGCATTTTCAACCATGGAAATCTCTGGAATGTTATTGACAATACTTGCTTCCATTCCTGTGCTTCTGAAATAGAAAAGTTAAGCCTATACTAAATTTTACTTTATAGTAAAAGTTAGTTACTTCTGACTTAACAGGAGATAAAGGTTCGAAAAGAAATTTCTCTCTTAAGAACAGTAAAACTTGAACAATAGTTTACACAATTTTAATGTGAGTTTTTAACTATGATTATTTTATAATTTTATTGAAAGTAAATATATAGATGTGCAGGAGTAGATCCTGAGGGAGGGTTTGCCCCCCTTTTCCAATTCAAAAACAAAATTGAAGGAAATGGCAAAACATTGAATAAAAATAAAGAAGAAGAAAAAAAAGAGATGCAAGTATTAGAAATATAATATTTAATTGTTTTCTGGGGTCAGATATTCCTGGATGGAAAAGGGGTCTGGCCCATCTGTGATGTGTGAAATGTTGAAGATAGTCATAAAGGATCTTTTCTTCTCAAATTTTATGATCAATTAAAAACCCACCATCAGTACTTGAAGGTGCCCTTTACATTGGTAGGACTATCAAGTATTCCATCACTCTCTCAGCACTTGTTATAAGTGCTATTAAGTGTTATAAGTGTTATTATGTATAATGACTGATAAAAGTCAGGAAAGGAAGGTGTCAGGAATCGACTTGAAAAAATGTCTTCAACATCTCAGACTCTCCAATATCCATTCTTCTGGACCTCCCCTTAGAATATCTTGGATCCACCCATAATGGTATGGGTTACATTTATATGGTTTGGAGTTTGATGGCAAAAGTTTGGGAAGAAACCAAAATGGGCTTTGACAGCCACTGTTACTATGGAAGCAAATTTAAAATGGAATTACCAGCTGTTCTTCCAGCTAGTAGCTGGGCAGACACTCAGACCAAGGAACTAGTAACCAATAACAACTGAACACAAGCGTAACAATAACATCACCTCATCTAAATCAAAAGTCAAAATGGTGTTACAACCCATGCTTTTGAAGCTATGATACCACCAAATTTATTTAGGTGATTTCACAATACAGGCAAATATTGTTTTAAGTGCTAGAATTGATCACCAACTGAAAATATAAGTGTCTATATTTGTAGGTGTGTTTATCCATACTTGATCACACAAGTGACAAGTAAAAATAAGTAACAACACATGCCATTATGTATATCATGTTGGTATATAAAAACAACACATTATGTATATCATGTTGGTATAAAAAAACAACACATTATGTATATCATGTTGGTATATAAAAACAACACATTATATATATCATGTTGGTATATAAAAACAACACATGCCATTATGTATATCATGTTGGTATATAAAAACAACACATGCCATTATGTATATCATGTTGGTATATAAAAACAACACATGCCATTATTTATATCATGTTGGTATATTCTTATACCTGATTATAACTTGATAACCGAGTCACCATAAGATTTACACGAGTAGCTACACATCCATTCTTAAACTTGGCTAGAACTTAAGAATCCAGTAACTGTACAATTTATACAAGAAGCTATAAGTCCTTTGTTCTATGTAGCTAAAACTTAAGAAACTAGTACGTACAACATATATACAAGTAGTTTGAAGTCTTTAGTAGTTTGAGTTGTTATAAAATGACTTACTAGCAAGCAGTTGTGGGTTAGTCCTTTAGTTCAGTTGGTTAAGTACTTGCCTCGTATATGACAGGTCTTCGGTTCAAATCACATAAGAAAAATATATATATACTGTGAAAATATCAATTACAATAAGTCCACTTTTACAGCTGGTTATGAGTTAGAGACAGCTATAATTTATTGTTATACCTGATGTATAAACTTAAGAATCTAGTAGATAAAAATTCACTTATATAACACAGTTACAACTTAATAGCCTGGTTAATCACAACCTGTATACATCTAGGACAAAATTCACTGGTATACAATTCATGTTTAAGCTTATTTAATTTGTTACTTTTACTGTTATACATATATTATTGTCAACTATTTTAATACATCATTAGAATTCAATAGCACTTGAAATTTTTTTCTTTGATCAAACAAAGTACTCCTGTATATATATAGATAGATAGATACAAAACACATCGATATGTTAAATGAACACTCCCCAATATTCTAACCAAACATACAACAATATGCTAACCAAACACAAAACAATGCTAACCGGACACACACATACACCAATATTCTAACCAAACACATACCAAATTGCTAACCAGACAAGACACACACCAATATTCTAACCAAACACATACCAAATTGCTAACCAGACAAGACACACACCAATATTATAACCAAACACATACCAATTTGCTAACTAGACACACACACACATACACCAATATTATAACCAAACACATACCAAATTGCTAACTAGACACACACACACCAATATTCTAACCAAACACATACCAAATTGCTAACTAGACACACACACACACACACCAATATTCTAACCAAACACATACCAATTTGCTAACTATACACACACACACACCAATATTTTCACCAAACACATATCAAATTTTCTTACCATACATACACACTAAAATAATAAATAGAAACACTAACCAGAAACAACCAATATATTAACCAAACATATACCAATATCCTATGTTAGAGAGAGCCATACACAAACACTAATATGCTAACCATAGAAACAACATACTATTGTAAGCTGTATTTTAAATATTTGTTTATTTGCTAGAAGGACATTACAACTAGATAGGCATAGATCATGTGGAAAATTCTACTGCATCAGTTTTCTAGTATATTAGATGGTAGATTTAAGAAAAGAGCTCGGCAAAACTTTGAAGAGATAACTAAGAAGATAGAGAATTGTTTCTAGCTGTTAGAGTTAATCAATCACTTTAAACTCAGAAATGTTTCACAAATTCTGAGAAAAAAAATTTACCATCTAGTACAACTCACAAAGATTGTGTGCAGAGTTTTAAAGATTTCCTTGTTCATGCAACAGTGCCTTACACTCCACCACAGAATAGGTGTCATCCAAGAAATAAAGCTCGTCTAACTTCCAAGTTCATAAAAGCTACCGACCCTTTTCCATCAAATATA